ACATTGATTGGGCTCGTGATTGGTATTCTAGCATTCTGCTTCGCTACTTGTACTACGTGTGTGAGGTCAGTCCTTGTCAGGTCAGTCTTTGTATCTAAGTCTTCCCTGCGCTATTCAGCACTTTTGTATGTATGAGAATGCACATTGTCTGTCGAGATTCTACTCTCACCGCATTGTCCATTTCAGTCCTTTTTATCACACTGCAGTTCCTCGGTTATTACGAACATCACATATCTGTGCATGTAACAATATATCTGTCCATATCTCAAGTATTTGGGCCCAATACGAACTCCTGGTCGACTCAGCTTCCCCCCCCCTGTATTCCTTCTCTTCCCCTTTTGGCCCATCCTTCACAAAAAAACCAGAACACTCCTTCCATATTAGGCGGAGTTTTATACTTAGCCATCCCTCGTATATGGTCCAAAACCAATGGAACCCAGCGGAGATGGGGTTGTGTGAGTAATTTGATAACCCATTTAGTTTGGAGTGCTTTGATCTGCTGACCCGGGTCGAGGATGCCCAAACCCCCCTGATCCTTTGTATGAATAACCTGACTCCATGCTACCTTAGAAATATAATTTGTCTTGGTAGGGTTCGCTGTCCAGAGGTATGCTGCCGCCTCCCTCCTGAGCTTGTTTAGAGAGTGTAAGGGAGGTGTCCATATTGTTCCTACATACCATAACATGGAGAAGATAGAAGCATTTAATATTAGTGCCCTCCCAAAAAGTGACGTATAAATTTCAGACCATACTGACATTTTGGCTAACGTTTTGGTCATCTGCTGTTGTGCCATCGAGTAGTGAGGACCTGTATCTGCAAGTGTGATCCCCAAATACCTCAGTGGTTGATCTGATGACGCCCATGTCATTCCCCCAAAATTTGGCGGATGAGGTAGAGTTTGATGGTCATCATGTGATAGCCACCATCCTACTGTTTTAGGCCAATTAATTTTCATTTCCGAGGCCAGTTGGAAGGCAGCCATCGCTCTCGTGAGGGCTTGAAAAGAGGACTCTGTAGCCCTAATTTGGACCGTCAAATCGTCTGCGAACAGTATCGTTGTTGGCAGCTGTATGAGACGGCCATCCAATGGTATTGATTTGCAGTTGATAACAATTCTGAATGAACTGGCACAGATCAGTACCATCCAAAAGTCCACACAGGAACAGGCGGGATCTTGGGCCGAGTTCATGGTCCTCAGTTGGTGATTTGGCTTATACCACTTTATAGTAAGTTTATACAGCCTAGAATTCCATTGAGGGGAGTATTATGCGGAAACTACCTTCAGATCAAGCCTGGGATATGAACGTCCAAGTGACAGTCTGACTCCATTTAAAAATTTAGTAATTTACTAATTTACCCTAAGCGCTCTCTTGACCGTAGGTAAGCTGCCATCTGTCGTAATTGCTCTGGCAAAGTCTTTTGCTGGTTCCTAAATGATTTGCATACCATGACATAGTGAGTACGGAAGAGAGAATTTTGAATCCTCTTCCTGCTCAGGAGGTGAAGACCTGTTGAGTTCTGACGATTGTTTTTTTTTTTGGCGCTTTATTTTAGTATTTTTAATTTCTATGGAGTCAGAATCGCAAGGTATGGGGGGGGAGGGAGAGGAATTTTACCTTCAAATCTAGGTTACTTGTCTGTCCAGCCAGGCAACCCCCAGCTGGGTGAACAGTCAGCCTTTTCTTTTTCTGGTATTGGTGCTGAAATGATGCTACTTCTTGCTCCAGCAAACTTGCAGGATGAAAATTTTGTGCCTACTGCTGCCCAGCTTGTCATTGCCGACAACCTGATTCTGACCCTACGTGTAGGCCTACTGAATCTGCGTATTTGAAAGTTCTAGATCTGCCGGTCTAGAAAGGCCTGCTGTAACATTGTTCAAGATAAGCATAAGAGCCGGCTCGCTACCCTTGCAGCGCTAATAAGCAACCAGATTGTTGCTCCCCAGAACCGATGGGGCCTTTTTGTTTTGGAAAAAAAAAAAAACAGAACAAAAGAAGGGAAAAAGAGAAAAAAAAAAGAAAAGAAAGGCCTGCTGTAAACTTGCCCTACAGAGATGCTGCAAGGAGGTCGTTCAAAGCTCACACTCTTCAAAACAGCACAAAAAGAAAGCAAATACCTATACTTCCTTGTAGTGGGTTCCGAGTTCAACCCCTTTTCAAAAAGGAACGACAACGACTTAGAATTTGGGGCAGTTTGTGGGTTTAAACTTTAAACTTTAAATCCCGCAATTCTTTAACAGCTGTAGTTCTTCTTGTCCTGGTGGGGGGAAAAAATCCTAATTGATTGAATCCCTCTCTGATTGGAATGATGGCTTTTGCAGGCTCTTTTGGCGGAGGAGGAACAGCTTTCTGCAAGAATTCAAGCTGCCAGATCGAAAGTGGCAGAAATGCGAGAGTCGTTGACTTCTGCCCAGAGCCAGAACACTATTCTTAAGGCTCTGCAGCAGGCAAGAGATTCAGGAAGGATTCCAGGGATCTTCGGCCGTTTGGGTGATCTTGGTGCCATTGATGGTGAGCATTAAATGACAACAGCATCACTCATTTATGCTGTTGCATGCCTTTTTTTTTGGGGGGGGGAATAGCCATGTCGCCACCCTAGGAGAGGTGATAAGGGCACCCCGTCTTAGCGGGCCACCTGGTTGCTCCGGTCTACTGGTGGGGAACGGCACCTGCTTGAACTTTTTACTGGCTCTGTTAGCTTCTCAGCGACAAAACTTGCTTGTCTTGAGGATGCGAGCCATATCTTGCCTGGGTTTCAATTGGTGATAAGAAAAAAATCTTTGCAAATCCAAAATTTGAAAAAAAAGAAAAAACTTTTAAAAAGTGATGTTCACAGGGGGTTCTGCTGCTTACTTTCCCCAGTCACAAGGGCTGGTGTCTGGTGTTCAAGTGCCGGACATCTGGATTTCTTTTTTCGATCTGAAATTTGAATATGATATGTTTCAATATTATCCTATTACTTAAGGCTTTTTAAAGCTATTAATATTAATAGCCTATTATGCCTTTTACGTTTCAAATTTCAAAGGCATTCAACCAGTTGAGCTCACCAGTTTGTTTCTTCTTATGCTGCTGATGCTACCACTGCTCTACGAACATGACATTACTGTCATGACTCCAGCACACAAGCTTCTGTGTGGTTCCTTTTCCACCAGCAATCTATTTCTATTATTTAAGGCTTTTCTGAGCTAGCCTATCATACCTTTTGAAGTTTCAGTTTTTAAAGGCATTCAACCAGTTGAGCTGGCAATTTTCACCACTTTGTGTCCAGTCTCTTCTTCTTCGTCGTCGTCTTCGTCTTCGTTTTCTCGTCTTCGTCTTCGTCTTCGTCTTCATCTTCGTCTTCGTCTTCGTCTTCGCCTTCGTCTTCGTCTTCGTCTTCGTCTTCGTCTTCGTCTTCGCCTTCGTCTTCGTCTTCGTCTTCGTCTTCGACTTCGTCTTCGTCCTCGTCTTCGTCTTCGTCTTCGTCCTCGTCCTTCTTTCTTCTTCTTCTTCTTCTTCTTCTTCTTCTTCTTCTTCTTCTTCTTCTTCTTCTTCTTCTTCTTCTTCTTCTTCCTCCTCCTCCTGCTGCTGCTGCTGCTGCTGCTACTGTAAGAACATGATAGTACGGTCATGGCTCCATTAAACAAGCTTCTGTGTGGTTGCTTTTCCACCAGCAATCCATGGCATGCAAAACAGTGCCTCCTTCATGCGTCATCCCATTGCGGCTGGGAGACAGTGATTTTCACTGTTCCCCTGTAATGTCCAAAAACCATGTTGTCCGGATCTCTCCTGCAGTCTGGAGCCGTCTCCCCACATTCTTTTAGGCACACTTCTGTGTAGAAGCCCTTGCCGTTTGTTTGCACTTGATGGACTTAAATTGGTCGAGTATAATGAGGAAGTCCAAAGTATTCTGCTTCGAGCATGGCTATGTCACAAGGCCAGCCACTAGTGGACCCTCTCTGAGCATGGACTTTTCTGGTCGTATCTGCTGGTCAACTCGATACCTGGACTCCTTTTATGTGTGGGCTTGCGTCTGAGAGCGCATTACGGTCTGTTTTCTCTAAGGTGTTATTTGCACTTTGACACCAGTTGTGCCAATCCTTTCGCTTGCATCGATTATCCCTAAGTACTGCTATCCTGTGCTGAAGTAGCCAAAGCTTTTTGAACTGCCTCCTCAGCTTACCATAAACCCTAAACCCTAAACTCTGGATGCTAAACCATAAACCCTGAGCTGTAGACCCTGCGTCTATTCTCCAGTCTGGGGTTCCTTGCTACGGTATCTTGCCCCTGTTTCCGTCAGCTTCTTTTTTTTTTCCCCTGACCCACAAAGACAATGTCACTATATCTTTTTTCCTTTTCTTCAAGTCACACTATCTTCCAGGTTGAGGAAAAATTTGGACCATTTCTCGATTTATGCCTTTCATCCTTGCGCAGGGGCCATGCAAATCTTCTCTGTATCGTTCCAATTTTAAGGGATGTCCCGAAGGACTGTTTCCGTCCACTTCTAATGTCTGCCTCTGTGAGATCTTCCATTGCTGCCTAGCCCCCCTCTCTGTTCGCTGGTTCGGAGGCTCCATATAAATGTTTGGGTACACCTTTCCTTGCAAGTCGTTCATAGAAGGGCACCCCTTTTGTCCATTAGACATGCAAGTTGATCCAGACACTGGATTTTTCATGAACGAGGAAGCCTTCTTCTGCCTCTTTTGTCTTGTGTCTTTCCTCGAGTGCCCGTTCACCTATGTTCTTCTCCTTCCCTATGTAACACAGATGCAGCGGAAGCGTTCTTATTGGTGGATGGGGGCGTTGTCATCGATATGTACTGATGGTTCTTCTCCCACGCCCAATTGACAACGTGGATATTCGTGCTGGGAACACGTTCTCCGCCTCGAGCCGTAAAAAAAAACGAAAATGTAAGACTAAGCGTGTCTGTTCAGGTGTGGGCCGTACGCACTGTTTGCCTGTCTTCTCCGGGTCTTTCTGGACTGTCTCGCTTAAAAAATTGTACGAGCGAACCTCCTCAATTATGTCCTTCTCTTTGGCCTGCAACCACTTGTAAATAGTTTTAGGCACCAGTTCTGCACTGGCTGTGTCATGCCGGGGGATTTTTTTTTTGTGGTTTCATTCCTGCTGCTCTGACCTCTCTCAGTACACTGGATCACAGGGTGTTTATATCCTCCAGTATGTGCTGACTTGTCCTACCGTCTTCACCCGAATACAACGCCCGGTCATTATAGCTGTATCTGGACTGAATGGTGCACCGAATACAGCTTTAATGACCGGGCGTTTTATTCGGGTGAAGACAGTAGGGCAGTGTTGAGCATCGTGTTCTGGGAGAATAGATAGGAAGAGTGTGGACATGTTTGACGCCGGAGGTTTGCTGCAGAAGGCTGTATATTTGTTGGTGGGTGTGGTTACTCGCAGGCTGCAATCGGTAGTTTTCTCGAACTTTTCTGTGCGGTAGGATTTCTGGTGAGGTGCTGGCACCCCTAATACAGTTCACGGATGTATTTTTCGTGTGTGCAATCCGTTTTTCCTTCGTACCAGATGTGTCTAATTTAGTAATTTGCAATACCTCTTTTTCACCCCATGAAAGCCATTTACAATCTAGGGGGTTTAAAGTTTAAACCACCACTGCATCTGAACCTGACTTGCTAAACTCTGTAGGACCCGCTACTGTACCGGTTTATGGCAGTCTGACAGGGAAAACGCCTGGCCTACTGTAGTCACCACTTTTGGGAAAAAGGAGCCCCCCCTATGCAGTGGTGATTTCATGTCAATGGTGAGCCTCATCCGTGGGTTACAACTCAGGGGGAAGAGGGTAAAAACTTCCACACAAGTGTTCGAAGTGGCAATTGTCAAATCAGATGACCATTTGACTGCGAAAAGCTTTTGCAAGAAACCCAGTCAGAATCCGCGGAGAAAAGCGTCTAGGGTCGTCGCTTTTGGTCCAAGTCCAGAATCAGAGGTCTAAAGTTCCGCCTCCAGTCCAAGAAGGGCACCGGGTCAGGAGTCAAACAAGGCACCCCGTGCCCCTGAGAACCAGCCGTTGACCTCAGGAAATGCACGAGTCAGGCCCAATGCGGGCAAAGCAGTCAAACAGTCAGAGATTACTTGGGAGTCAACCACGGCCACAGATCTGAGCACATCCACCGGGCCCAGGCACACAGTGGGTGAAAGCAAATCTGGGCCATCTGGGTGTGACCCCCAGTGAAAAGAGTTGTTTGTATTGCAGATTCCTGGTTCCAGCCTCTAGGCCTATCTCTACACACTGTACACAGCTTACTCTTTTATTTCCAACTTTGGACCAGCCGGGCTGCCCGGGTTGCCTCGGTGTGGCATACTGGGTAGCCACACGGGCCCTGTAGGACCCGTCCCGGACATTCAGCCTAAAAGCCTAAAACTTAGGATCTACAGGCCCCGGTCGTTTCAGCCTGAAAACTGAAAAACGAGGGTCTGCAGGCCCTACTCCGTTTCAGCCTATTTCTGGGTCTTTCAGACCCAGAGTTTTTCCAGCCTGAAACGGAGGGCTATTCTTAGGCCCTGGGCTATT